TCCCAAATACCATACGTATTTGGGAATAGATAGATTTATTTTAGTTTCTATGCCATTATATATTGTATGTAATGTAAACAATAGTATAAATAATTAAATTATTTAAAAAAAAAAAGATTTTAATTGTGGCAAAACAAGTTATTTTGATTTAAAAATAAACTATTAAATCGATTTTGATAAAATTTCTATTGAATCAATCTGTAAGTAGGTATATCCTTTCAGATAAAAGAATTTTTCAAATCGGTTTACAACTGACGGAGGTATATCCGTTACAAATATATAAAAGAATTTTTACTTTACTTTTATAGCAATACATCATCTTTATTGTTGAAATATTTAGTTTCCAATTGTCCAATAGTCCTTTGAGTGCATTTATCAAACGAAATACTTGCAGCGGCGGGAAACAATGATTGACGAGTTCGCACCTCGGCTCGTGGCTTTCTAATTAAGACGATATGCGTCCGCGCACCGTTGCAACTCTTCGCGCTCGTTTAACTCACAAACTACTAATTTTACCCCTTGCGTTCCAGTAATTCATACAACGACTTTATGTAAGGGACTGGTTTCTATAATATCTTTTATATATATTATAACATCACTGTAACATAATTATATCTTTTGTAAAAACAAAAAAAATAAAATAAAAGAATTCTGTTTTCTGATAGTTCCTATAAAATTATGTAAGCAAACCGTTCAAATATGTTGAAATTGAGAAGTCCCTATATAGAATTTTTATCTAAAGTTTGTACTGTCGTATCATCATTATCATATCAGCCTTTATTTATTCACTGTTGAACTTAAGCCTCCCCCATAAGTGCATATCGTCCTATATTACTTTTTTTTTAATCTACGTTTATTTTGGGATTTTTTTGTTTTTTAACATGTCAATTCCATAGAATCTAAACAAGTTATCTACTATTATAATTATGAACATCCCAATAATCAATCCCCACATAAAATTTATTAATATTAAATGTTTTTAAAAATGTTTCCATTTCCCTTCGGTTCCTATCACATTCCATCAATATGTGGTCCTATATTACTTGTCAATTGACTTATCTACACAGAAATAAATATGTAACCAATTTTTAAAAGTTATGTTCATGTTTCATTTGATATCTAATGCAGCAAAGCACTAAACGCCCCCTGAATAAGACTTCCGGGTGAAATCCAAACAATTGTCGGAAACTACAAAAATACAATAAGTTCATTAATTTCCCGTAAGTATGTATTCAGATATGTTACCAATTATATTTCTCCAAATTGTGATGTTTTAATGTGTGTTAACTTAATATTAGTATATTGATAAAAAGAATTCTACGTCTATCTTATGGCAAATTTTATGAAGACTGATATTCCAGATAAACTAATTTTTATTATCATAGTATTAATAAGATTTTATAACATTATAATTGAATGATATTAGAATCGATACCAAATATAAGAATACAAATGTCTTTCAATATATATATATATATATATATATATATATATATATATATATATATATATATCCATAAAAATTCTTTCTATATATATATATATATATATATAACAAAATTATAACAAAATTATAATTAATAATAGTGTTTGTGTATCGCACAAAAACTGCATAATTGATATTTGGTATAATGATAACCTGTTTATGTCAACCCAGGTAGGATTTAGATAAGTATAAGATATCTTTATTACAGTAAAAATCTTATTCCCATAGAAAAATACAAAAATATTCACATGAAGTTGTAAGAACAACTAGTTAAAAAATAAAAGATTTAATTTACGATCCATTTCTAGATTTAAACCGTAGACTCGCCCTTTAACAATGTCATAACAATAATGAGCGGTTGTAAACGGGCGCCCTTATTTCTGTCTTCGGTATCTGCTCATTATAGCGCTTCAACTTATTACCCGTGAGTCTGTTTATCTTTTTGCCCTCTCCCGGTTTTCCCGCTAACTTTTGGGTGGTAGTATGATGGACGACGTCGGTGGCCATATATCATTGCGGTAATATATCGCGCGGTGCGCAGAGTGTCGCCATTAACGCATGCGCGCAATTGCCCGTGCTCAAGCGCATGCACCATCACGAGAGCTATAAGAAGCGTCTCACAAATCGACGGCCGCGACCGCAACTAAACGTGCATAAATCTTATTAATGGTATTCTTATTTGGATCCTATCTCGATCTTGTAAAATCGTTAGAACAAATTTTAATAACATCACCGTAGCTTAAATGTTCAACATCCCAACACAGTATCCAATAATATTGTATGTAACATAAGCTATTCACTTTACTAAATAAATAAAACTAATCAATGTGATATTGTAGATAGAATTCTTATGCAGTAAACTTTACAATCATGATGACTATTTTGCGGGTGGTCGTCTATGATTTACGGATGTTGTATAATAGTTCGAGGGTCAGAAGGCTTGAAAACCAAATTTCGTAACGTTGTTCAGGATCCATAGACGATTTGTTAGACTTTGTGTTGTGTCTCATTCCCCCATGTCGGCTGCCCGGATCTTTGTCGGCGAAAAGTGAGAGGCCGATAGATGAAGCTGTACGAGTCGCCTTACAGTTAAAGATTTGTTGTTTCCGTTCTCGCCGCCTCAATGACTACCATTTTATGTCGATTAGAAGATAGTGTTACACGCGCCCGCTACTGACACCAGTTTTTGTGACACTCCTTTCTGCTCACAACGAACTTATTATCAATGATCGGTTAGTTGTAGATGTTTTTATAATAGACTGTTCTGTTTTTCGTTGTATTAATTTGACGTATTCTGAGTGGAATGTTTTTCGACAGACAATTGAGACGCAAGATTTTTAGTAAAATAAATTGATATATATCTGAAGGTTTTTTTTTTTAAATATTATACACATTTTAATAATGCAGCACATACCTAATTAATACGTAATACCACGCTAAAGTTTATATCTACCCTCTTTTAAGAACTATATATAACAGGAAACCACTACATAGAAAGACAGTAGGTAATAAGGGTCATTACCCGTCATGTCGACCAACCACAAGCAATTTCACTCAGTAAACAAGACATATTATACAAAAATGTATACTCATTCATCTATCTCCAATGGGAGACATAAAAGAATGTGTGTGCGTTAAAGAGGGGAACGGGTTTCTTGCTTTTAGAATGAATATTGTATGCACGTTTCATTTTCAAGTTTATATTTTCCTCTGTAGTCAGTATTGATTGACACGGGAATTTAATTTTTGTCTTTTATTTATAAAAGACTTTTAATCTTTTTTGTTACTCCCCTTTTGTATCTTCAAGTATAACATTTGAAAAATTGAATATAAGTGTGTGTGTGTGTGTGTGTGCGTATGTGCCTGAAAGATATAAACAGTTGTATATGTGTGTGATTATTTTAATTTTTTTGGATCTTTGAATTTATATTGATCTAGGTGCATTTATATTGTTAAATATAATAAATTTTTAAATTAATTAATTAATTGTAAATCAGTTTTACTCTTAAGATGTCTGAAGTTATTAACAATTTTTATGCTATTTTAATTAATAATCCGTCGACTTTTTAACATTTCCCATTTTTAAAAGAAAGCACAGATGGTCCCACAACAAATTTTGGAATTGTTGTATTGATTATTTTTGAGGGGGTTTGCAAAGAAAACTATTTAAATTAATGTTGTATTTAAAATAATTTATTAAGATATAAATTATTGTTTTAAACGTAAATTAATCGAAATAAATCGAAGTCCTGGTATGATTTTAAAATCATCATTAGAATCGTATAAGATAATTTAAAAAAATCTTATTTTTTACTTATTTTGTATTTTTCAATACTGAAATATACGTTTAGATGTTATCTTATCTTACTAATATGATAAAAGTATCTAAGATAATGCTTTAGAAAAAAATTTCGTGAGTAGTCTTATAAGAAAAATAAAAGCCAAAACAATGATTTTTAAAAATTTTATCTGTCTAGCTTTGTGTTTGTTCCGGTATCACACAAAAACTGCTGGTAATCGATGTTTTTTTATAGTCAAAAAATTAGAAGATGGTATAGAAACACAAAATATTTCGGAAAATTATTTAATACTTTTTTTGTATAATAACCTAATAATACAAACTTTTATATTTTATTGTTATTTGTAAGTACTAATTACTTGCAATAATTTGCGATAACCTCAGCTCTTGAGCAAGAGACGATTTGCGTCGGTCACGGGTAAGAATAATTGCAACTCGACCAACTAATTGTCGAATAATTGCGTTAATGTGAAAATATACGGTTAAACAAAACAATGGACGAGGAAGTCGATAATACAGGATTGTATGTGAAATAACAGAAACATTTGCATTGTACATAAATACTATGTATTTGAACACTTCTTGTTTACTATTAATAGATTGTGTTTTTTTTTAAACATACACAGATCACATCCATGTACTACATTTTGGAAGCTTAGAGTACCTATATAAGACAAAGTTTTAGGTACTAACGAAAATTCTGATTAGCAATTATAAGAGAATCTAGTAATTCGAATTCAAGTTACAATAGAATGGATAATTTTCATAGATGAAAATTAATATTATTCATACAGTACCTAAGTAGACAAATGCCATTCCAACTTAATAATATCCTATGTCAGGAGAAAGAGGATATTTCTCATTAGTAATTCAAATTAATTTAAATTAATTCTATAGAATATCTGTTATATATATTTTATCGATTTCTATATTGAATGATGAAACGATATTATGCAAAAACCTTTAGACAACAATAAGAAAAAAGAAATAATTCAGTACGATAATAAGCAAGTCAAATAAAACTGTCCACCCCCTACCATATAGTGTAATTAGTAGTGTATTTAAATTCAACCAGTTTATCATTGCAAGCTATTTGCTAGATATACTTATTCAATATTCCTTAATTGAAGGCAAACATCATTATTTACGTGATGAATCTATTTTGTCATGGACTAATTTTATTCTTAGAAATTTAATGTAATTTTTTGTCCACAGACGCATGTTTCCGACGGTGCGCGTATCGTTCGCGGGATGTCGTGCAGAGGCGCGGTACACGGTCTTACTTGACGTAGTACCGGTGGACGGCAAACGGTACCGGTATGCATACCACCGGTCGTCGTGGCTGGTCGCCGGCAAGGCGGACCCGCCCGCCCCCGCGCGGCTCTACCCGCACCCCGACTCACCCTTCTCTGGTGACCAGCTTCGCAAGCAAGTGGTCTCCTTTGAGAAGGTCAAGCTGACCAACAATGAAATGGATAAGAATGGACAGGTAAATAACTAAAAATTTAATATAACAGCAAGATCTTAAAAAATCTTTTACGTATAGAGAAAACTACATTATCAACTAGTAACATAGACTATATATAATTTTCGAAAATTTTATCTAATCGTGCTTAGCTGGGCGATCGCTAGTTATATAAATATTTAAAAGACGTCCTATGATATAATATATGGGCGAAATAGTATACTCTATTATGTCCTTGATCATGTCTATAGGCGACGGTTACCACTTTCCATCAGGTGTACCGTCAATTTATTTGCCATTTTAAGTTGTATAAAAAAAATATTATGAAATATTTTAATTTTGTATTCAAACTCAATTAATCCCATATTCCTTCATTTTCCTATCAATTTTATGGATCTAAGATTACAGTATAGAATACATTATCTTTAGATAAATAAGATAAATTCAAATAATTATTTTTGTATCGCCAGTTGGTGCTAAATTCAATGCACAAGTACCAACCACGCATCCACTTGGTTTTACGTCGAGAAGGTGCCCTCAATGCTCCTATCACCGATCTCGAGCAGGAAGAATTCAAGACTTTCATATTCCCTGAATGTGTTTTCACCGCAGTCACGGCGTACCAGAATCAACTTGTAAGTAATGATATCTTTTATACAGATTTATATTCCGTTACCTTTTTTTCTCATTTTATTTCTAAAATAGATCAGAGAAGTAGACACTTGAAATTGCATCGCGCTCTCGGTTGACTATCGACGAGTTCTATTACCGTCTCACTAATTGCATCTCGTTGAAAGGTATGTCCAGTCTGAACAAAGGGAGGTGGCACATAATTTTTTGTCTATCAGGCGGCCACACGCGGGCGTCACCGACGACGGACGGACAGTGCGGTTGACGCGTGCCCGACGGCGACGATTAAAGTTTTCACCCGAGCTAAATATAAAGCCCTAGATGTTACAGTCGATTGTTTCCACCAGTAGCTTACGTGTTATTTGCCAATGCCATTGCAAATGTGTTATTAATTTGTTGTTTGACTATTTTTTGGATTTTTCATCATTGTCATTATGTGTCCACTCCTGAACATAAATTTCGCCCAAAGACTACTATAAGGAACAATCCTGAGCCACCTGAATCCACTGACTTCTTGTGATGCATTTAAGGTCGTTCCTAGAGAGAGAAGGTCATCTAATGCGAAGTCGTTCTACATCGTAATTTTTCCTGATTCGTCCATATAGTTAAGTTAGGAAGACAGGCGTGTTGACAGGTATCTTTAGAATAAAAGTTGAAAGGTTAATAAAATCGAAACTCAATTGAATCGAAACTCTAGCAGTCAATATAATTATTTTAACTAGAACTTTTATAAATATCCTAAATTAAAGAATATTTCTTGGCTAAATGAAGCGTTCTGTTCGCTTGAGTCGGAACTGCGCCCGCCCGTTGCCGCATGTGTCGCCACGCGCAATTAATTCTCTGTCACAAGAGCGTTTGGGCGTCTCCAAGTTCCTCGTTTTGTTTCAAATACCGCGTAGTAAAATAATTAGGACGTTTTGAGGTTCATAAAGGAAATGTTACTTTATATCGACAACACGGTACATAAATCTTCATTCGTTCGTTTATTAGTGTTACAAGTTACTTTAGTCACCTACCTATGCATTACAGCAATTTTGAATGTAAGTAATAAGTAACGAACACCTATCTATTGTATAAGTACTAAATTTATTATTATAGCATCCGTTCGGTGCGTGCAATCGTTTTGTCTCTTGCGACTGAGGACAAATAGCTGTCAGTAGCGAACGTTGAATTGCATCCATCACTGACAAATCGTTGAGATGCAAATAACACTCATAGTTGTTGGGAACGTTATCCGTGATCTGATTGTGCTAGTACTATAGGCACATCAACTATCAATAGCTTGCACACAGAGGCTCCACCTCCACAGCCGGCTATGAACGACTCCCCAGGGGCTGCGATTATTGATTTCCATTGATTCTAACGTGTTTCCAGATTTACTGCCAACACCTAGCGATAGCCATTGATTTCATATGATTTGGGGACGCCTACATACGAAATCGGTATCCAAATGATATTACGTATTGAATAGGCATTTTATGGGTAATGACTGCTATATTTTATGTAATAAAAAAGTATTCTTTGTTATATAAAATAGTATATTTAAAAAAATATATCTTAAGAAACTACTTTACAGTGTAAAGAGCGTGATATCTGTGTTTTGATCACACCAAGCGTCCGGGCGGTTCGGCGCGAGCGCACAGCGGTCTCGATTTGGCTGACGTCATATCTCTGACAGCTAAAAGATTTGTCGAACAGCATAGATAGTGTCACTGATAACCCAATCCCTTACAACAATAGGAATACACTTAGTATGTTTGCACCTGCGCGCCGGCCGACGATCAATATGACTTATAACCCGCATAACTTTATGCTTACAAAAAAGTAGCCACTTTAAACACGTCGTTATGCTAAAAAAGCAATAAAATTATAATTCGAACTCCTCCAGAGTTCACGCTAGTGCAGAGTATTAAATTACGACTGCCCGTTTTGAAACACAAAAAAGTGTCACCACATTTTTAGGTGCGCGCGACATTTGTTAAATGGATTCAAAATGAAACATCATTATTGGTGCTTTATCATACTGGAACGTTGATATAAGAGGAGATAAAACCACATACAAAAAATATGAATTGTGTTTTTTGTATGTCGCGGTGTGAGACTGAGCGTCGCCGTTGGCGCGCGCGCCGCGGGACCATTTCCCGGGAAACTATCGTGGGTTGCTCCACAACGGACTGCGGGCTGTTTCGTTGCTTAACATTTTACACCCACCATACTATTGTTACGTTGCTCGTTTTCTGTAGAATCCTTTGTCTGGAATTCGTCTCGCAGCGAGAGGTGACAATGTTTGTTAGCATTTACGCATCCTCAAAGCACACAATGCGTTTTTTAATAACCGATGACTTGTGAATTTGTTAAGATTGATTGTTTCGTTTGTGTTAATACATTGAATAGTTAAGAAAAAGTTGCGAATAGCAACCTGACTTAGGATATTGTGTTTAAATAAATATTTGTATTCTTATTTAGATATTCATTTAATGAAATTTCTACATATCGGTAGGTAGTAGGCTAATCAACTTAACATGCTAATTTAGGTACATATCCTTTTCTGAGTTTAGAATATTATTTTGCTATTTGTTAAATATTATTCTTACGACTGTAAACCTAGACGGGGTTATTACCCTATAATAATTAATCTATAATTATTATTATAGACGCTAGACAATTGTTGTAATCAATAAAAGTTTCAAGTTATGATGAATGATATTTAAGATTTGTTAACATAAAATAAATAAAATAAACCGATTAGAGAAATCGTGTCAGTTGATTTGTCTGCCATGCTTCATCATTACGCGCCTTGAGAAGATAATCACGGAAATAACTGCACTTTAGTCGCATGTTGCCGCTTATACGCATTCAATAGCCGCTTAATTGAAATTTATTCTTCATTTCTCAGTATCTACAATCAATATTCTAAAATCTCCAAAGCTATTCTCACATTGAGCATCTACAAACGAGTTCTACACGGGTATAATCGAACAATATAATGAAGGAGTAAAGGCAAACACAATTTCAATAACAAAGGCCAGCCATGACAAATAAACATATTTCACGGGCCAAAATGGCTGCGGTCAGGTGTCACGAGTGTCTACCCGCCCTGCGCACCTCACGTCCCTCTCGTTTCTTTTTCTTTACAAGATAATCGATTCACTCTTTTCATTGTCGAAAATGATTATTTAATTAGATATAACTCTTTTTACCTGTTTTTATTTTATACTGAAGTAGGTATTCATGTTATGTTTTATATTGTATCCTTTTGTAGTCAATCATCAATACCATAACCAATTAACATCCTATTACTGGGCTTAAATCTCTACCTAAAAATAAAGTATATAGTATATTGGCTAGCCAGATAGCTTAGTCATAGGTTTTTATTCGAATTTTGCATTTCTTTTTACACTGGTGTAGCTATTACGATTTATCCCCTATTTGCCTCAAATGATATTCTAAGGAGGTGGAACGAGAACATTGCATTCCTCTATCATGGTTTATTTGTATAAGTAGGTTCTATTGAAATATTACAATAATAAAATATTAGAGACGTGCTATATTACCGTACATGTTTTGGGTAAAATGGTAAATGGTTTTAACCTATCAAAAGGTTAACAGAATCCTAATGTTAAATTACAATACTCAATTAGATGCGAACCGTGGAATATTCTCGTTTGTAAATTTTTATTTACTACATTTAAAGAAATTGGTAAACTGCATGTTTGACTTTGATTTCATAATTAAAAAAAAACCTACATCTATTAAAAATAAATAAGAAGATAAATTATCGTATGAAAAATGCATTTCAAGAGATATGATTTATTGTCCTTTTTACTTTACAATTGTTTCAGATTCAGTCAAATTTGTATTATTTTTCATTCATTCAATTCTTTGAGGTGACATTTTTTTTTTAGTAAATAGACACCTATTCTTTTCCGTATCAATGAGATTAAAATGTGTATAATTGTAAGATTATTTTATCGATATAAGAATTTAAATGTACAATATAAAATATCAAAGTCATTGCATCCGTTCATTTTTCAATAAATAAAATGACTCTTTAACACGAATGTAACATAAGTCAAAAATACAAGAAGTCAACGTACTTGCTTAAGAGTGGATATAAAATAATTTAAGATGAAATAATTTATTGACATTGCGTCTCCCTTTCTCCCATTGGATTATATAGCATCCTCTCACTTCTTCTTGCCATCGATCAACCGAGGTGTGACGTCACGCAGAGCCGTCGTGTGCGGCCCAGCTGAATTTATTGCGTCTGCGCAGTCAGCTACCACAGAAAAACTAAATATTTCATTGTGTCGTACGTAAAATTTTAATTGATTTACCTAAGTATCGAGATATTATGAAATTTCATTTATAAATGAAGTTGCTACCATATCTACACGAGTTTCTTTTTATATGTTAACAGCTAGTATAATATCGAATTAAAATTACGTAGAAATATTATCTATTTAAATAGCTATGGGTAATTTATTTTTAAAATCTGCTTTAGTATTTTATAAAAGACTAGTAAAAAAACTACGTTTATTGGGTGTCATGTTAACATGTAACGAGACGCTCTGCGAGCGGGACACGACGGGAACATTCAGAAGAATAAATAAATGTCACGTTAGCATGCGCTTGCGCACCCTGAGCTGCTCTCTACCTCCGTTCTTATTGATTGATGTAGTGCAGCGACGAACGATGTCTCAGCTGTATACTACAGTTATATTCGACTACTTACAATATGTCACAAATACAAGGATCGTACAAGAATGTTACGTACTCTTTTTAATTATAGCTCAAAAAATAAAAAGGTCTGACCCTATAAAAGTATGTCTACCATTCCCTCTACACGTACATGTATTTTTTGTTATATGAAATCTATTATGATTGTTATTTGAGATATGTTTGATGAAAATCTGTTTATTGCATGTGTATTTTAATCTTAATTAATTTTTGTGTACAATTAATTCACTTTTGTTGCTAAATATTGTACCTATTTTATTTCAAC